TAAATAAATAATTTAACAAATATACATTGACGTTTCGAGACAGGTAGCATCTGGACGATATGGGTGAATTGCAATTACGCCTCCTTGATAGGCACAAAAGAGGCGAGTGTTGAGGTGATTTCTAAATACGGGAGAGAGGCCTTTTTTTTCCCACTTGCTCTCACGATAATGACATAACTGTATTTCGTGGCGAGTGCCCGCGACGTGCGATGACGGTATCGGGAAAACGGCCGCGGCGGAAAAAACGCGCGATGGCGACTCTCCGATATCACGGTCGACTCGCGACAGCTGTCGGCCCGCGACGCGTGGGATGCCCTTAAAATTTATTCTATTTATAGTACACACACCACTACGACGGCGACGAACTGTTGAAAGTGAGGTCGTCATCGCGATGCGATCAAGCCAGGGGTCTCGAAACTGGATACTCGTAACTCACAAATATGCTGAATCGCGGCCACGCTGAAGAAACGTGGGGGCACAGAAATGAGGATTAAGAGATGGAACTCTAACGGAGCCGGTCGAATATTTTAGAAAGATGTTCTTTGTTAAGACAAACGCGCTCGCCTATCGTCGTCTCTCGCCGATAAGAATTGCAGACAGAAGGCACGCTATTTATGAAGACGCACGATGTGTCGGAAATGAAATGCGAAACAAAAAACGACGAGATTTAATTCGCTTTTACCTAGGTATCGACTTCTGTGAAGAAATTTATTGTTCCAAAAAAAAAAAAATAAATAAATTTGACGCGACGTCAAAATCGATTATTCGTGAAACAGAATGATTTTCGACAGACGACTTTTAACGATAAATAAAATAGAAAGGTCTTGGCTTCGTTTCTCGATAGCGGAGATATTATGTGTTTCATTAAATGAAATCTTATAAAGGTTTAATTAAAACGTTGAATCCCAGTCCGAATGCCTGATTAAAGTCTTGTCATGGGAAATGTGATTTTGAAAAGGAAGTATGCTTTAGTTTAGAATCCTACGTACAATGCAGCATGTGAATCGTGAGATCTAGCGGGTGTTTTAATTAACTGGTTATTGTTTTTTCCCAGAGGAATCGCAAGTGGGAT